GACAGATCCCTTTGTGAGAGAGGCCGTGGTCAACGGTGCTGTATCGCTGAAGGGTGCCCACTACGATTTTGTCAAGGGAACTTTCGAGCTATGGGATCTAGATTTCGCAATTTCCCCGTCCATTGCTATCTGAGCTTAATTTCAATGCATGTTGTGTATGTTCTATCGAATAATTTTATTTTATTTTTGTTACGAAGGTGCGGTTTGAATTTATGATAGGATACAGGCAAGGTTGAATTTAAATTTTAATATAAAATGTGTAATTATTCAATTTTACAACAACAGTTATAATTTTTAATTTAATCGTTGGATCGAAGTGGAATTTTTTGACATCTTATATTATCTTGGGTTAAAATTTCAGGTCAATCGAAATTCAGGTTTCCAATAGTGCTGGTGTCTAGATACAAATTATTTTTATGTCATATTTCTATCAAACTTAATTTACTTGATTTTTTAAAAATTGATGTTTTTATGTATGGGTTGCATGACCACATAATTATGAGATTCATCAATTTTTTTTTGTAAAAAAAAAAAAAAGAGATAATAATACTAATTGAGCCTTTTAAATAATATTTTTTGACAATGTGAAGCTTTGACCGGCTTCATTTTAAATTTTAGTGTGCTTATTTGTCCCATCTTTAGAATATTGTTTCTTTAAATTGTTGGGTTTGGTTCTGTATCAAACACTAAATTGGGTGGTGCCATTGACAATCATGGATGTAAAACTTGAACCAACGTAGGGATCTGTATTGGTTGGGGTTGAAAAAAGAATAACAAAACAAAATTTGGCTATATCAATCAAAAACCAGGTTTAACTATTAACCCAAACTTAGATTTAATAATTTTAATTTTGAATATTTTTTGTTAAAATGATGTTATTTTAAAAGGAATTATGATAAATTTTCAATGGCTTAGTTTTTTTTAATTCAAATTTAATTGTTTTTAATGTTTTTTATGTAATTTTATTTTTCAAATAATGATCTAAACAATTAATGCACATATTTTTAACACACGTCACATGATTAACAAAATTAGATTAAAAAAAACAAAAAAATTAGAGGAATATAGTGCCAGGGCAGAATTTATATATATAAAAATATTCTAGGTAAAAAGTCATAAATAAATAAGAATACAGGGCAAAACACATTATTAACACTTCACTTTTCAAGATATTTTCAGATTTGTAAGGGATTTGTTACTAATAGAAGTGCCATTGATTGTTAAAAATATATATATATAAAACACACGAAAAACACATAAATAAACGGTCGAAATTTCCATTGTCTGACTAATTCTTTTTTTTTAAATTCAAAATACTAAGAATTTCTCCTTCAACAATTATAAGATAATATATTTTTCTTAATTGCTAATGAATATATACTTCATTGAATAACATTTACGTTTATATATTAAAAAATTATAAGAGCTTGAAGTAATTTTTTTTTCCTTTTTCTTTCTTTTCCCAAAGAAATGCATGATTATCATCTTTTCGTTTTCTTTTTTTTTTAATTTTAGATGTTATGTTTTTTATTGTTTATTTTAGTTCTCAACTCTTTTAGAAAAAATAATAATTATGTTTTTAATTTACTTTTTAAATTATTATTTATCATCTATTATTTTATCTAGTTTAGTTTTTATTCTTTTAATTTTTTATTGTTTTTCTTGGATTTTTTGTTAAAGTTTTATTGTCTTTAATTTCATCATTTAATCAAAATTTATATTGTTTTTTTTTTCAATTTAGCCTTTATTCTTTTAATTTTTTTATTCTTTTATTTTTTTCACACCTTATAATTTGTATTTTTTATTTTTATTTTCACCATTTTTCTCTTAATTAAAATTTTTTATGTGATAGATTTTTTCTCTATTTTATTCTTTAACATTTAAGTTGCTGAGAATTGAGCTTCATAATTTTTTTATTTTTCATACTTCTGATCTTTTCATGAGTCTTAAAAGTTGATATGTTAGGGATTGTTTTCTTTTTTTTTCATTTTCTTTTATGATTCTATCATGCAAAATTATTATTTAAAAAAATATAATTTTGTGATTATCTTAAATTTTATTTCTCTCAGCTTATCCCAATTTCAAGGCTTAAGTTATAGGTTTTGCAAACTTTTTTTAATAGAGTTTTTTTTAAAATAAATGTTTTGTTTTATATTTAATTTTTGAAGATTTGTTTTATTTTTGTACAAATAAGCTTTATTTTATAAATAATATTTGTTCTGAAATAATATTTCTAATATGTTTAGCCTTGCGTGATAATTCCTTTTCTTTTATTTTATTCCTTCAATTTCATATGTATTTCTATTCATGTTATTCTTTATTGATTTTAATAAATAAATTTAATAGACGCAAATGAATCTTTGGCCTAGGATATGAGTTTTGCAGGACTTTTTTGACTGAGAGTTTTTTCTAAGATGTTTTGTTTTGTTTTTAATTTTTACATATTTTTTTAATTTTGTACAAGTAAACTTTATTTTATAAAAAAAAATTACTTTAAAATCATATTTCTTATATGTCTAGCCTTGCATAATATTTTTTGCCTTTTATTTTATTCATTCAGTTTCATATATATTTTTGCTTCCATTATCTTTTATTGATTCTCATAAACAAATTTAGTAGTAATGTACGGGTAAATATTTTATTTTACAAGATTAAATATCTTGATTTATTTTCATTTCTTAATTTTTTTAGTATCTCTTTTAGTTATTGTTAACTTTTTTTTCTTTTACTTACATTGATGATTATTAATTTATTTGATTAGATCTTTGAAAAACTTTTTAATTTATATTTTAAATTTTTATGTAAAAAAGCATATCAAAATAACTTGTTTATCTGTTTTTTTTTTTAAAAATAAATTATGACACACTCTAGAGTATGAGTTAAATATCTAATTTAATATACGAATTATTCAACTTTTTCTATTAGTTTTTATACTTTTATTTTTTCGTGTGCTTTTACCTTTGACAATTTAATTGTTTACTTGGTTTCATATTGTTTTGGATTTTAATTATTTATAATTTAG